GGTGGCAGTGGTCCTACAATGTCTAAGCGAACATGATCGAAGCGAGCATCAGGCGTAGCGAATGTACCGATGGGGGCGGCTACGTGCCTGTGCACTTTTGATCGTTGACATTGTAAGCATTGCTTAGCCCACATACGAACATCTTTATTCATGGACGGCCAGACGTATCGTGCAGCGATGAGGCGTAAAGTAGCTGCGATACCTGGGTGAGATAATCCATGCAGGGCATCGAATACGAGACGGCGATAAGCAGAGGGTACGATGGGTCGAGGAAGACCGGTAGACGTATCACATAGAATGGTGCCAGAAGTCGTGGCTAGAGGTACTTCCTGATACTGAAGGGACGTAGAGTGTGGTGCTTTTGTACAGCTGGGATCGTTTGCTTGGGCAGCGGCCATAGCAGGAAGATCGAGCACCGGCAGGGTAACTGCATTCATTTGGATTCGTGATAAGGCATCGGCAACACAGTTCGACTTGCCTTGGATGTGACGAAGGTCTGTCGTGAACTGGGAGATATAGTCCAAATGTCTGCACTCTCGTGGTGAGTAGCGGTCAGACTTGGTATGCAAAGCATACGTTAAGGGCTTATGGTCGGTGAATAAAATGAATTGACGTCCTTCTACTGCGTGCCGAAAATGTTTGATGGCGCAGTAGGCTGCTAGCAGCTCGCGACCAAAAGCGCTATATCTCGTCTCCGTGGTAGTAAGGCGTCGTGAGAAAAACTCGAGAGGTTGCCAACTACCGGAGATGTTTTGTTGCATGACTGCTCCTATAGCAACATCGGATGCATCAACCGCTATACTAAGCGTGGCTGATGGATCGTGATGGGCGAGAAGAGTGGCTTGCGCAAGGGCCGTTTTGATTTCAGTGAATGCAGTACGTGCAGAATCGTTCATTTCCAATCTACGTGGGTTGCCGCGTAATAAGTCGGTTAGTGGTCGTAGCCGTTCTGCCGCGTGTGGGATGAAACGACGGTAGAAGTTAACCAAACCGAGAAAAGCCTTCAGTTCCTTGAGTGAGGACGGCACGTTGTACTCCTTTATTGCTTGCACTTTGTCCTCACAAGGTAGAATACCCTCTTGCTTGATAACATGACCCAGAAATATTATTTCTCGTTTACCTAACTCGCATTTGTCTGGGTTAACTACTATTCCATTATCCGAAAGGCGTTGGAATAATAGCGTAAGATGTTGATAATGTTCATCTACGTTTGATGATGCGATTAGCAGGTCATCAATATAGACGTGAACGAAATCGAGGTCTCGTACAATGCTATCGATAAACCTTTGAAAAGTTTGAGCAGCATTCCGTAATCCAAATGGCATTCGTAGGAACTCAAACAAACCGAAAGGAGTCGTGATAGCAGTCTTTTCGATATCTTCTAGAGCGACTGGGATCTGATGATATGCTCGTACCAGATCGATCTTAGAAAAGATAGTCGTGCCCTTGAGCGATGCTGTGATGTCGTGTATGTGGGGGATGGGGTAGCTATCAAAGCGCGTAACTACGTTTAGAGCTCGGTAGTCGCCGCATGGTCTCCAACTAACCCCATCTTTTTTGCGCACCATGTGTAGAGGAGAGGCCCACGGACTGTGAGAAGGACGAATAATACCAGTAGCTAGTAAATTGTCAAACTCACGCTTAGCAAAAGCTAATTTGTCCGGTGCCAGTCGGCGAGGTCGTGCCGTGACTGGCGGACCGCGGGTGACTATGTGGTGTACCACACGATTAGTCACCGATGGAAGCTCCTCGAGTGGTTTAGTGAGTACGGGGAATTTCTCGAATAAAGCGTGGAATTTATCGTCACACGAGTAAAAAGTGCCGAGGATTCGGTACGCGTTCATGTGGGCTTTACAGCCCATGAATTTGCTGTTCGACGAAGTATCGATTAGCTGCAGCCTACGTGAATCGACAAGCAATTCATAGTGTTGTAGAAAATCGATATCTAGTATGGCTGTGGGAGCATCAGCAATGATGAACGTCCACAGATACCGTCGTCGGTTGCCCAGGTTGACCACGAGTTGTCGTGTACCGTAGGTAGGAATGACTGAGCCATTCGCAGCGCGTGGTCGAAGCACTGTGGCTTGTGACTTGCTGCTACCTCGTGGTACGACAGAAACTTGGGTCCCAGTGTTTACTAGGAACCTAGCGTTTGTGCGATAATCGTGCACATAGAATAGGCGACCAACCTGGGGAAAAGGGCCGGCGAGTACGGCCGCTTTTACTCGCCGGCGCTGGCGTTTCCCGCCTTGTATGAGCATGGTGCTCGACAACGGCGGGCGCCAGACCCGAAGGACCTATGGAACCAGCACCAACTGTCACTCGCTTCCGTAGCCGCATTTCGGCGTGGCCTGGAAGATGCCCTTTTTGGGCGACTGCTGACGGGTTTGCGAGAACTTGAGCGAGCTCGGGGGACGTAGGGTTGGGGTACGTTACAACGGTCTCGAAAACTAAGACGTGTGTGGATACACCCGGCCCTGTCACCATGAGCTGAGGAATGACCGGCGTCCAAGTCTACTTTAGGACGTGCCGTCGAAGCAACTACATAGGTATTTTTATTGCTAGTCCTCGCTAAAATTTTATCTGCTATGAGGGCTACCTGGTTAAGCGGTGAGTCCTCGAGCAGTGCCGTCACAGTGGGTTGGATATGCACTGGAAGTGACTCGAGCCATAATTCCTTAACTATCTCCGAGTCAGATGCTGTTGGTCCTGCAAGAGATTTCAGGCGCGTGAGGTGATGGCTTGGTTTAGCATCACCCAGGGGGTGACGTGCAAACAGTGTCCTCAATCGTTCCTCCCTCGATGGGAGGAAATAACGGAGAATTGCCTCTTTGAGGCGGTCATAAACATTAGGCACGTTAGAATTGAGGACAGCCTCACGAACAGCTACTAAATGGTCCCCGGGTAATGATTCGAGAGCGTAGGCGTATTTTTGCCTTTGGCTCGTGATGCGACGAGTCTCGAACTGAGACTCTAATGCAGCAAACCAGACCTCAGGGTCGTGGGGGATGAATGATACAGGTCGAAAATGAATGGCCTGTACGTCTGAGTCTATAACATTGATAGTATTCTTGTCGCTATCCGTCATGTCGTGTATATTATATATTAAAAATTAATATGAAAATATACGACAGACGTGGATAGATAAATAATAGACTCACCGAATTGGATTCTTTGGAAGATTTGACCCGAGGTTGAGGCGTGTTCCAAACTTTGGGATCACCAATTGTAGCGTGGTGTCGAGTTGAGATTAACTGTGAACACCGCTACCAAGAAACACGTGCCAGATAAATCAGAAGGCGTAGGTTGAACCTAACCAAAGAAACCCATAAAATCCCCAAGAAGCCAAATACCAGAAGGCAATTAATGGACCAAGTCGATGTTTATTTGCTGGCGATCTCGTGGCATCGAAAGGATACCGAGATTGTGCCAGGATACAACCTTGGTTACAGAAGGTAACCGAATTCGCGCGAAGTTACAATCGAAGTGTAAGTATAAGAATGGAAGCACAAAATGGCTATAATTAGCACAGTTAAACAAAAGCACATTAAAACAAACACTGGTACAGTTGGTTATAATAATAATTGTTTTTATTAAACCAGTCGTGTTCTCGTGATAAACGTGAGTCACTACACATGTATGTTGTGACCCAGACTTTCCTAAGCAATGCAAGAGATAAAGGAAATAAGCGTGATTGACTATCCAAAGAAAGGGTGTGCTAAATGCACTTTTGATCTGTAATGGAATACTGGTTTCCCTTTTTATTCCAGTTTCTGGTAAACATTTATACTGCAATAAGTATTTCCTATATATTTCCAGCTGGCTTCGCAAGTGTTCAGGGACCTAACGGGAACAATTCCTAAGAAATAGAAGTTATTTATTAATGGATCATTTGTGCTAGATTTAAACTTTAATAAACATTTTCATTTATAACGCGTCAGTCTTCTAATTACGGCAATTCTTATCTATCGTGAAAAGTCGAAATTCGAACTAATAGTATGGTACACCATGTTCAAGGTTGCAGTATTTGATAAACGGTATACATGACTAATCGCGTGTGAGCCAAACTGGTAATTATCACACAAGAACGCGAAACAACATCCCTCTCTCACAGCCACATAAGACTGCACAGTACACTCTCCCTGCTGTTACGCTATAAGAATAAGTTAATGGCCATATAAATGAATTTATGTAAAACTAAAAAGTTTACAATATTAGAACTTTTTGTTACAAGAAGCATATCTATGGTCTGTGTTAACAAAGGATTCTGATGTTGTAGCTTCATCATTAGCACCGATTGAACTCATCACTTGTGCGTATATGTCTTCCGATGCTTCGAGGCATGAACGGATGAGTTTACTGGCCAAATGTTCACTAAGAGCATGGATTGAGTGGTAGTTGTTAGTGAACTTCTCTAGCAGATCACCACTTTCTGTAGAGATTGACATGTCCAGCGCACGAAGAACCATGTCCATTATGTATTTCCGTGTCCAACAGTTGCTATTGTAGTGACTCACATTCATCACGAGAACACGACTGGTTTAATAAAAACAATTATTATTATAACCAACTGTACCAGTGTTTGTTTTAATGTGCTTTTGTTTAACTGTGCTAATTATAGCCATTTTGTGCTTCCATTACCTTCCATCATTGTTCCGCGGTTTTCGGTACTGTTCGCACGTACTCCTGTCTTCTGCTTCCACTTGTACCACTTCTTGGCACGATCTCGGTATTCGTTCAATACCACGAGATCGCAAACGAAATAAATCTGGTTACGTTCGATCCTCGCCTTCTGATTTATCTGGCACGTGTTTCTTGGTAGCGGTGTTCACAGTTAATCTCAACTCGACACCACGCTACAATTGGTGATCCCAAAGTTTGGAACACGCCTCAACCTCGGGTCAAATCTTCCAAAGAATCCAATTCGGTGAGTCTATTATTTATCTATCCACGTCTGTCGTATATTTTCATATTAATTTTTAATATATAATATACACGACATGACGGATAGCGACAAGAATACTATCAATGTTATAGACTCAGACGTACAGGCCATTCATTTTCGACCTGTATCATTCATCCCCCACGACCCTGAGGTCTGGTTTGCTGCATTAGAGTCTCAGTTCGAGACTCGTCGCATCACGAGCCAAAGGCAAAAATACGCCTACGCTCTCGAATCATTACCCGGGGACCATTTAGTAGCTGTTCGTGAGGCTGTCCTCAATTCTAACGTGCCTAATGTTTATGACCGCCTCAAAGAGGCAATTCTCCGTTATTTCCTCCCATCGAGGGAGGAACGATTGAGGACACTGTTTGCACGTCACCCCCTGGGTGATGCTAAACCAAGCCATCACCTCACGCGCCTGAAATCTCTTGCAGGACCAACAGCATCTGACTCGGAGATAGTTAAGGAATTATGGCTCGAGTCACTTCCAGTGCATATCCAACCCACTGTGACGGCACTGCTCGAGGACTCACCGCTTAACCAGGTAGCCCTCATAGCAGATAAAATTTTAGCGAGGACTAGCAATAAAAATACCTATGTAGTTGCTTCGACGGCACGTCCTAAAGTAGACTTGGACGCCGGTCATTCCTCAGCTCATGGTGACAGGGCCGGGTGTATCCACACACGTCTTAGTTTTCGAGACCGTTGTAACGTACCCCAACCCTACGTCCCCCGAGCTCGCTCAAGTTCTCGCAAACCCGTCAGCAGTCGCCCAAAAAGGGCATCTTCCAGGCCACGCCGAAATGCGGCTACGGAAGCGAGTGACAGTTGGTGCTGGTTCCATAGGTCCTTCGGGTCTGGCGCCCGCCGTTGTCGAGCACCATGCTCATACAAGGCGGGAAACGCCAGCGCCGGCGAGTAAAAGCGGCCGTACTCGCCGGCCCTTTTCCCCAGGTTGGTCGCCTATTCTATGTGCACGATTATCGCACAAACGCTAGGTTCCTAGTAAACACTGGGACCCAAGTTTCTGTCGTACCACGAGGTAGCAGCAAGTCACAAGCCACAGTGCTTCGACCACGCGCTGCGAATGGCTCAGTCATTCCTACCTACGGTACACGACAACTCGTGGTCAACCTGGGCAACCGACGACGGTATCTGTGGACGTTCATCATTGCTGATGCTCCCACAGCCATACTAGATATCGATTTTCTACAACACTATGAATTGCTTGTCGATTCACGTAGGCTGCAGCTAATCGATACTTCGTCGAACAGCAAATTCATGGGCTGTAAAGCCCACATGAACGCGTACCGAATCCTCGGCACTTTTTACTCGTGTGACGATAAATTCCACGCTTTATTCGAGAAATTCCCCGTACTCACTAAACCACTCGAGGAGCTTCCATCGGTGACTAATCGTGTGGTACACCACATAGTCACCCGCGGTCCGCCAGTCACGGCACGACCTCGCCGACTGGCACCGGACAAATTAGCTTTTGCTAAGCGTGAGTTTGACAATTTACTAGCTACTGGTATTATTCGTCCTTCTCACAGTCCGTGGGCCTCTCCTCTACACATGGTGCGCAAAAAAGATGGGGTTAGTTGGAGACCATGCGGCGACTACCGAGCTCTAAACGTAGTTACGCGCTTTGATAGCTACCCCATCCCCCACATACACGACATCACAGCATCGCTCAAGGGCACGACTATCTTTTCTAAGATCGATCTGGTACGAGCATATCATCAGATCCCAGTCGCTCTAGAAGATATCGAAAAGACTGCTATCACGACTCCTTTCGGTTTGTTTGAGTTCCTACGAATGCCATTTGGATTACGGAATGCTGCTCAAACTTTTCAAAGGTTTATCGATAGCATTGTACGAGACCTCGATTTCGTTCACGTCTATATTGATGACCTGCTAATCGCATCATCAAACGTAGATGAACATTATCAACATCTTACGCTATTATTCCAACGCCTTTCGGATAATGGAATAGTAGTTAACCCAGACAAATGCGAGTTAGGTAAACGAGAAATAATATTTCTGGGTCATGTTATCAAGCAAGAGGGTATTCTACCTTGTGAGGACAAAGTGCAAGCAATAAAGGAGTACAACGTGCCGTCCTCACTCAAGGAACTGAAGGCTTTTCTCGGTTTGGTTAACTTCTACCGTCGTTTCATCCCACACGCGGCAGAACGGCTACGACCACTAACCGACTTATTACGCGGCAACCCACGTAGATTGGAAATGAACGATTCTGCACGTACTGCATTCACTGAAATCAAAACGGCCCTTGCGCAAGCCACTCTTCTCGCCCATCACGATCCATCAGCCACGCTTAGTATAGCGGTTGATGCATCCGATGTTGCTATAGGAGCAGTCATGCAACAAAACATCTCCGGTAGTTGGCAACCTCTCGAGTTTTTCTCACGACGCCTTACTACCACGGAGACGAGATATAGCGCTTTTGGTCGCGAGCTGCTAGCAGCCTACTGCGCCATCAAACATTTTCGGCACGCAGTAGAAGGACGTCAATTCATTTTATTCACCGACCATAAGCCCTTAACGTATGCTTTGCATACCAAGTCTGACCGCTACTCACCACGAGAGTGCAGACATTTGGACTATATCTCCCAGTTCACGACAGACCTTCGTCACATCCAAGGCAAGTCGAACTGTGTTGCCGATGCCTTATCACGAATCCAAATGAATGCAGTTACCCTGCCGGTGCTCGATCTTCCTGCTATGGCCGCTGCCCAAGCAAACGATCCCAGCTGTACAAAAGCACCACACTCTACGTCCCTTCAGTATCAGGAAGTACCTCTAGCCACGACTTCTGGCACCATTCTATGTGATACGTCTACCGGTCTTCCTCGACCCATCGTACCCTCTGCTTATCGCCGTCTCGTATTCGATGCCCTGCATGGATTATCTCACCCAGGTATCGCAGCTACTTTACGCCTCATCGCTGCACGATACGTCTGGCCGTCCATGAATAAAGATGTTCGTATGTGGGCTAAGCAATGCTTACAATGTCAACGATCAAAAGTGCACAGGCACGTAGCCGCCCCCTCGGTACATTCGCTACGCCTGATGCTCGCTTCGATCATGTTCGCTTAGACATTGTAGGACCACTGCCACCATCGCACGGGTATGATCACATACTCACGTGCATCGACCGCTTCACCAGATGGCCCGAAGCTATACCCATCACGTCTATCACGGCGGAGACAGTTGCTCACCGCTTCGTAGAACGATGGATAGCTCTATATGGTTGTCCCTCGACTGTCACGACTGACCGAGGACAACAATTTGAGTCCGCATTACTCTCCTCACTTACTCGGCTGCTTGGTACGGAACGCATACGCACTACCGCCTACCATCCAGCTTCAAATGGTTTAGTTGAAAGGTTTCACCGTCAACTTAAAAGTGCTCTTCGAGCACACGAAAACGACGACTGGTACGAAACCTTACCGCTCGTTCTTTTAGGTATCAGAACGAGTTTAAAGGCAGATATCCAATGTTCCGCCGCTGAACTTGTATACGGCACGACATTGCGTCTGCCCGGGGAATTCTTCACACCACGGAGCAGACCTAATTTCGCTAAATCAGACTACGTCCAACGACTGTCTGCATTTATGCGAACGCTGCCTCCGGTGTCAACTCGAATACAACATCGACAGGTCGCTCTCCCTCGAGAGTTATCTACCTGTTCACATGTTTTCATACGAGTAGATTCGGTACGCAAACCTTTGCAACAACCTTACGAAGGCCCTTTTCGCGTGATCGCTCGTCACGAAAAGACCTTCAAGGTTGATCGACACGGCCGCGTCGAGATCGTCAGCATTGATCGTCTCAAACCAGCACACGTCGATGACAGTGCCCTATCTGATAACCTGAGATTCAATGCTAGACCTACCAAACCTACTAGCGGGATCCTCAAACCATCTTCATGTCCCACGCTAGATACATCTGAGACCTCATTCTCACGTCTCAGTCAACAGCACGCGTCGTCTGCACCGTCTACGGACGAGACGACAGTCTCACGTCCAGATCAGCAGACCACGCCGCCCTTGACTTCGGATGAGATTGCAGGCTCGCGCGACGCGAACGAGACTATCGTCTCACGTTCCGGTCGCCGAGTACGGTCGCCCGTACGCTTCTGCGAATAGTCGCACAGTCAACAACCGATACGGTGTAGGATTATTCCTATACTACACGCATGCCACACTCTTCTCTGTTTTGATTTTCTTTTTGTTTCCTGAGCCCACGCCTTCGACCATCTCCGCTTGGTTCCGTCGACTTCAGTCAACTTTGGCGAAGGCTAGCCTGATCACCCATGCTCTTGTCAACGCACTCAGTCGATATATTGGTTTCGAATGCTTGGCACACGCTTGGTCTCGAACTTGGTCGTTACGGTCGCTTCTGGTCTTTTGGCTCAACGTGGTTTCGTCCTTCGTCTGCAGCGTTTCTGGTCCGCTTTCCCTACGAACGCCCTCTTCAGATTCTGGATACAAACCACTCTGGTGTAGCATGCCAATTCAAGCAACAAATACAGCACATCGCTCCTGGTACCGTTCTCCGAAAACGACCTTCGTTGGCAACTCGACGATCAACGATCGCTTTCCTGTTCGCCAATTCTTCCGTCCTACAATCGGTCGTCAGCCGATCAGTCCCACGATTCAAACCGCTATTTATCGAAAGTGTAAACCCTTTCTAGCGGGGGGCTCCTGTAGTGACTCACGTTTATCACGAGAACACGACTGGTTTAATAAAAACAATTATTATTATAACCAACTGTACCAGTGTTTGTTTTAATGTGCTTTTGTTTAACTGTGCTAATTATAGCCATTTTGTGCTTCCATTACCTTCCATCATTGTTCCGCGGTTTTCGGTACTGTTCGCACGTACTCCTGTCTTCTGCTTCCACTTGTACCACTTCTTGGCACGATCTCGGTATTCGTTCAATACCACGAGATCGCAAACGAAATAAATCTGGTTACGTTCGATCCTCGCCTTCTGATTTATCTGGCACGTGTTTCTTGGTAGCGGTGTTCACAGTTAATCTCAACTCGACGCCACGCTACACATGGATTATATTACTTAATTCTTTGGGCAGGTTGCACTTCGAAAACTTAGACGATGAACATATATAAAGACTACTGTGTGAACTTACTTTGAATCGTCCTGTGTAACCTGCGATTCTTGATACATATTCTAATTTAGTCCCACGTAAGTAATGAGTAATTGTCATTTACGGCATCAGTACGTAAGCTAAACAAGCCATAGTTGATTTCCGAAGATCATCACATAGGATCTCACAAAATCAAGTCACCTGAGACCAAGATATCTTGATTATCGAATCTTACTTTTCAGTGCATCCTCGTAACAGCCTTATATCAGTACTTATTTCTGCTATTAGTTATTTTTGCAAGAACACCGGCAGCCAAAACATTGTAACTCTGCACGAGAGGTAGTAAAGCTATCTTAGCTGGGTCTCTGGTGAAATCTTCACATAATTACACCTCTTCCGCATGATTATGATTTATTTACTGCAATATAATCATCTGGTGGCTAATATATCTAACTGCAGAAAGTGATATTAACATCTTGGTATGTGTTATTATCATCTATAGCATTTATATAATATTCACAACACTCAGAACACCTAATGTTTTCACTTCCAACCTATTTCTGCCATAAAAGTCGAATAAAGCAGTGAAAATTAGCCAAAGTTGTGATAAAGAAGGGAAAAACGATAAATCTTACCATGGTATCGTTACTTGTAACGCAGTCTTGGTAGCCTGGACGACAATACAATGTTTATGACGAAATATGCCTGGATCATGCTATTTCATATCTAAAAACATGGTTTGTCTACCATCAGTGTATATCTAAGTAGAAATAATTGCTAGTCTGCGATGCAAAT